CATATTTTTATATTGCTATTGGAACTATCTTGCCACAAAAATCGCAAAACGTGTTGATCATTATCACGTATTTTTATTTTCAAAAACATATCCTTTATATCGCCAACTATAACATACCTATGTTGACGAAAGCGTAACATAATACCTAAAAGAGAGTTGTACAGATCGGGACCGGTTAACAAATAATCATTCAAACAAACACCGTTAACTTTCCCTGCACCATCAAAAACTAATCTTAATTTGTCGGGTTTATTTGAATTCTGTACTCCAAAATGTGACAAATACCAAATATGGTTGGCTTTAAGTTCGTTTTCTTTAAGTTCTCGAGCGTAGCCTAGATCGAATAATTTCTGTATCTCTTGACGATACCTATTTGCATAAGAATCATCAGCTTTGAACTTCTTTAATAAACCTTTCAAACGTGATAAGGCATAGTTGTAACTGTCGGGCATACAAAAAACATCCTTATTGAATGGCAGACCGACCTCCCATTGATCACCAATATTGCGTGAACTTTCGTCTAAAATACGAATAGCTCTCAAGTGTGCCGTATTCTCACGTCGGACGGTCGATATTCCTATGCAGTCCAAGTCATACGATCGTCTAATTAAATCAGTCAACTCATTCATACTATCAGTACCTACAATGTTATCACTTACCTGTAGGAACTCTGAGTGAGCAAGATGGAACGCGTGTCCGTTGATGGAAGTGTGACTGCGACCGATGCAGCCGTGAAGTGTCCATCCTAATCGGCATTTAGTCGCGTAAGGTTCTCGCTCATTACCGTGCAATATGTCTAAGGGAGCCATTAAGAAATAATTATCTTGGCCGATCAGTAGGCGAGGCATAACACACTCTTTACATACAAATCGTTTAATATGCGAAAAATTATCACAATTAATATTATTTACTAAAGACAAGTTCTGATTTGGCAACTTAAGTTTATCAACTTGACGTAAAGTAATTTCATATACATTATTATTATCATGAAAACTAGATATTTTTGTACATACTTTAGGAGCATCAGATTGAAAAATTTCTAAGCCGAAGGCATCAACAAATTTTATAGGACTAGGTTGAAAAGATTTTAAGCCTAATTCACGTACTAGAGTCTTATCTATCATTGATATCGCAGCACCATCGTCTAATAAAGCATATGTACTCACAATACCGAGGGGTCCACTGAGATTCACTTTTACCACTTTGAGCATAACGTGCGGCGCGGGCGCGGAGACCTCGCTCGCTTGCGCGAGCTGCGTTGACTCAGGGCCCGATACGTGCGTAACGGCGGCGGCGGCGGCTTGCGCAGCCAGCGGCCCAGCATCGGCCCGCAGCGGTGGCGGAGCAGCTGTGCGCGGCAGGGCCTGCGCGCTGCCGGTGGTGGCGTTTATATTCGAAGGCTGCGTTTCCGATGGGGTGTGGCTCGAAGAAGATTTATTGTAGTGCAACAAATGATGATGTGCGAGCCCGCAGTTATCGATATTACATAGCGGTGCTGGACATTCGTTCTTGTCGTGTCTATTTGATAGGCAACAGTAACATAAATTATTCATTTTAACAAATCTCCAACGTTCCTTTCTCATAGCTCGCTTAAATACACGGCAACTCGTTAGTGTGTGTGAACACTTCTTACAAAAATTGCATACAGTTGCATTAATGTCATTTGTGGAGGCTGTCGCGAGTATAGATCGATTATTACTATTATGCCGGTTATCAGCTGTTGGCTTGCGTATGTAGGTAACAGGATCAAATTTTTTATATTCTCGTGGTTGTATCATACCTACTACGGATATAATTTCTGCCTCGCGCTTGAGGAATGATGCAATTAATTCCAATTTCGATTGTTTTTCATATAATTTCTGGTACGCATATTCAGTCCATTTGCCAATAAGTGTACTCGGAAGCTTTGATGTGACAGTAGATAACAATTCTGGACTACATAGATAATCATTCTGATTAATAGCACGTAACGTAGCCACACAGTTGCTTATTTTTATGGAAAAATTGAATATATCTTGCTGATAATTATTAGGTAACGGTGTCAACTTTTTCATCTGGTATAACAAATGATGAATTATGATATCTGGCCGTCCAAATCGTAATTCTAGTGCCTCGAGAATATGTGATGGCGAAGTATTACCTATTAGAAGGTCAGTGACTGCTTCTCTGGCTTCTCCTTTTAGAGCACGACGTAGTCGCCATATATTCTCCGACTCGGTAAATTTACACATTCGAGTTGTTTCATTATAGGCACTTTTAAAGTGCAGCCATTCTATACAGTCTCCACTGAAAATAGGCAGCTCACGAGGGGTAGACAGTCGCGTGAGTAGACTATCTTCATGCTGTTTAGAAGACGAAACCATGATGTCCTTGAGGGTGTGCGCTAGCTGAAGGATGCTGTCGACAGGCTGGGTGGAGGCCATAGCGTGACTCGGTTCTATAACTTTAGTAGCCTGCGCTGCCTCTGTAGCCGTCGCTGCTGCATTGTCTTCCAGCTTAGGCGGCTTTATGCTGCTGCGATCCAGCCAATCCTCAACTCGTGAACATATATTGGCGTCCGTATTTTTACTAAATTGTGATCCACTTCTGGATCGATTGTCGTCTTCGTTTATTAGAGCTAAATTGACTTCTAGCTGCTTATTAATTAATTCAATTTCAATTTTCGCTTTGGCTTGAGCAGCTTCTAGTTCAAGCTGTTTGCGGCGGGCTTGAGATGACGTCGACTTTTTTGACGAATGCATCGACTCATTCTTCACCGATTGTCGCGTAAAAGTCGCTTTCCAATGTCCTGGATGTATTTTCAAGGATGAATTGTCGTTTGGCACCGGCACCGCCATTTTGTTGCTCTTAGCGAGCACGTGCTCGGAAGCACATTCTAATCGTTCCGTTAATTTTAATCGGTCTTTTTGCGTAATATTGTCGCGCGGTGGTGTACGATGCATGATTAATTATTATAAACGTTACTGGTTACTAGATTTGGCTCGATGGATCAATTTTGTAAAAGATGGAAAAATGAAAACGACTATTTGATCCAGAGCATACGGAAAGCTGTCGTTGCGGTCGCGGTGTAGAAGCTACTGGAATAAAGGCGGGACGTATGAGCGCGATGTGTGTACCGCAATCGACAGCCACCCGCATTAACTTTATTATAAAAATCAAAGGCAGAGGGTACAAATGGATACATAAATTATTATCTATAACATATAGGTAAATTAAAAATAATTAACGTAAAACTAAGACAAATTACATAATTTATTGAGTGTGTATGCGTCTAAAGCATATGTCATTTAGATGTTTGCATTGCAATGATAATAGTGATGAACTTATCAAAAAGTCCCTATGCAAGCGTCGCTGCGAGAGGGATCAGATTTTTCTGTATAAGATTTATTTATTTATACAGGCACACAAAACAGATTACAGTCATAAAAAGTAAATACATATTTGACAAACTAATTGGGTCTGGACTACAATCTAGAACTATGCGTACACAACATGGTAATTATAGTTGTCTCATAAAATTAATAAAATAAAATGTTTATATACATATGTTTTACAAACTATAGAAAAGAAAAGAAAATTCGTTTTAACATTGATAAGTCCCTATTTTATTTATTGTTTTATTCCTTATTTAGGTGCAAAGCTCTCTTACGCTTCTTTTAAATTTTACAAATGAAAAGTGATATCTTTGTCAAGCACAGCGATTTCGTTATAGCAGCGACACATTCGAACAAGTGGATTGAAATAGGAGGAATTATTTGTGCATACCCTCAAGGAGAACACCGAGTGACTTACATCACGAGATCTAAATTTAGTTTTGAAATTAAGATGTGATAACAAAGTTGGCGAATCAATATCAGAGTGTAATAGTTTGTGCAAACATAGTAAGTCATTACACTTGCGGCGACTCTCAAGACTCGTGAGACCAAATGTTTTTAGTCTATCTTGGTAAGATACAAGTGTCCTTTTTGACCCATACCGAAAACATAGTAACCTCGTGAATTTCTTTTGTATCTTCTCAATTCGATGTGAACAGTGAACCTTGTAAATTGGATTCCAAACCACACTGCAATATTCAAGAATGCCCCTGACAAGAGCATTGTATAAATAAACAAGACTGTCTGGACGTCTAAAACCTTTAGTGAAGCGGGATACAAATCCTAGAATCTGTGCCGAATCTTAAACAATCTGATTGATTCGTCCTCACTTATCAGTAATATTTACATAAAATGTCCCCTGATGAGCTCTAGAGCTTTATTCAGTGTTCCTCTTGTTAAAACGAATTACACTGCAAACACATTTTTATATAGAACTTGTAGTATTTATAATAACAAATTTAATTCGATTGACATTTTTAATAACAGCATTTATATTTATAGGAAAAAGTTGAGAGAAATACTCAATGATTAATTTGTGAATCTGGGATTTTCCAATGTTTGTTTCATTTTTTTTATTGTTTAATTATTTTTAGCAATTAACATGTTTCATGCTCTTGTGAATTAATTAATGGTGGAAACTTAATTGATTTGTGACATTGTTAATATTATTTTATTTGATTGTGTAATAATATTGTTTGTTTCCCAAATACATTATAAAATAAAAATAAATCAATTTATCTCCCCTGAAAACCCCTGCAGACTAAATTTCATGAAAATGGTTGGAGCCATTTCCGAGATTAAGAGTACAATACAGCAATTGCTTTTTTAAAGGTATAAGATAAAAAAAATGTGTGAAATAATGTTAAATACATTGAACATAGCCATAAAAATAAATGTTTATTTCATAATTTGCTATAAGTCCTCTTATTTTTGCCTAATTTATAGAAATATTATGACAATATCAAACTCAAAATCATTGATTACAGTTTGGTTAAGTTAGGACATTAAACTCAAAACATCTTTATTGGTCTGTTGTACATGAAAAGTTGAGTGTTTTATGCCAGCCAGCCCAACTCCGCCTAGTGATATAATTATTCAGCCTCTATCAGTGAACTAAGAACTTACCACTTGTATGACTTTAAGTATTCCAGGTATGGTCTTGAGATATTGAGGATCAAACCTAATGTTAGTCTGAACTATGGTGCTCGATGTCACAGTGGTAGTGGTTGTGTGTTGACCAGGAAATGACACCTCTGCCATGATGGATTACTGTGTGGGCAACAAGACTGTTACAATACAGATCAAAATTGAACTAACTACAAACATTTCTTTTAATTTGAAAATATATAGAAAAGCATCTATCAATTGTAAATGTATAATAAAAACAAATACCCAACTTTTGCTATTATTAAAATTTTTCAAAACAATTTATGCCTTAATTTGTTGATAGTTAACTTCAAAATTGATTTCAGAAAGACCTTACATAATCTGCTGATATCTATAAAAAATATATCAACAAAATCTATGAGGTCACTTATTCAAATTCTGTACAGAAGATAGAACATCATTTTTATTTCCTATATTTTTATGAATTGCTGTAATCAGTAAATTAGTGCAAACTGTAAAAAAAAATATAGTTATCTTTGTTTTTTAATGAATTATTCCACATGCATGCATACAATGACGCCCACTTTTAAAGAAGCCCTGAATAAACATATTATACAACACAAACAAAAATAATGCAAGCAAAATTTATAAAAAGTAAATATGGACAAACAAAAATTTTAAAAATCAGAGTCTTATTAATAATTTTTATTAATATTTAAAACAGTTCACGTTTTAGGTGACTTACCTATGTTAACTATTCCGAAAACTGAAAATTCGATAACTTCTACCTTATATACTTATGAGTTTTAGATTCGACTTAAAAATTATACTTGAACTAAACAGGTCTTTATCAAAAAACAATGTAAAACAGACGATTAATTTATTGATCGTCAGAAGTTACCTAAAATAACTATTATCAAGTAGGTATTTTCGCACGAAAATAAACGTGAGGTTTAACAAAATATATAAGCAACTGTTTCACCTACCTGGATATTTCCAATTAGGTATTACACAAACAAATTCACTTTCACTTATAACTTATTTCAATACACTAAAACAAAATGTTATAATTACATACTTTTTTCCGAATTAAAATTTTGAGTGACGTAAATATGAATCGAAAGTAAAGTCGGGTAAAGACTACTAAAGATAGCTTCTAATTTTAGTCTTCTAAAATTTGTGATTGGGATATCATAGAAAATCTATATTATTAATGTTTAAAATTATTTGAATATTCATTTGTACTATATCTCATTAAAGATATCAAATGATGTAGGTTTAATATAACCATATTATAATGAAAATCTCATAAAAATCAGTCTTTATTTAAATTAAAAAGAATGAATATAGAGCCATTACCCTACAATGAGGAAATAAAAAAAAATAAAAATTAGTTCTTGAAATCATACTAGATGTCACTGGCAATATTCGAATTTTGTTTATGATATTCATTCAAATTTTGTTTCTGACGTATTAAAAGTAAATTAAGTATCGAATATTATAAGTATGACATCGTTTTGTGTTTCTTATAATATCTAACTTTCAAATTAATTTTTATTTATTTTAATAGTAAGTTTAAGTTGTTTATTATGTTACGTGTAAAGGAACGATGTTTGTATGTCAACATTAGTGATGATGAGCCAACCTTTTGGTTGCTCGTAACTTTCATCCGAATTCAGGTTTGAAATGAAAAACAAAAAGCAGAGCGCAGAATTCAACTTCAACTTGTATTTGCATGTCATTATGCATCCACACAACGAATGATATTTACATAGTACTTAAGAAAGTCGAAAACTTTGCCAATGGTTCACAAAACTAAGGCGAGAGATCTTGTACTGACAAGAATCGGCAAGAAACTCAGCAAGGGCTGCTTTTTACGCCATGTTTTATTTCACACAGAGAAGTCTTATCAGAATGTGACTTAATTAGACTGTGAAGTCACTTTCCATTACAATATCAGAAATCCTACATACTCATTGACATATCAATATTCATACATAATAAAATAAAGTGGACGAAATTAAGTAGTCCGGTGTAGACTCACTCCCACTGTATATTTGATACATATCTTGTAAGTATATAGAAAATTAAATGGATTTTAATTATAATTATCGTTTTTATGACTTTTGTTGCTCATTAATAAACCCCATTGATTCATTCACTAAACATAATATAAAAATATTACTGAAACTTGATATAGTTTTGTTGTTGTAAGTTCTACAAACAACTAATTGCAACAAAACTAACTTAGGTACCTAGTTGTTACTGTTTTCAGAACTTTTTTTAATTAAATTATTAGGGGTTAAAATATGAAATTGCCGTTTTATTGTAATAGGTTCCATGAACTGACATAGAATCTTCATGGTTTGAGGTTTCCGAAAGAAACTTTTTTCAAATGGTTTCTATGATGTTCTTCTTTTAAAAATTGTGCAACATTTGAATATCGACTTTCAAATGTTTTTGTTATTCAACTTAGACAAGAAAGATGGATACTGCGAAAATTCGAGTGATTTTACCGACGCGGAAGTAACGCGACAGAAACAGCCCGCAATATCAATGTTGCGCTTGGAGAGGGATCTGCTAATGAACGCACAGTGCGATTTTGGTTTAAACGCTTTCGTGATGGTAACTTTGACTTGAAGAGCGACTCACGAGGAAGACCATCCACACAGGTGAATAACGATGAATTAAGAGAGATAGTGGAAGCCGATCCTAGTCAAACTACCCAGGAATTACTAGGAAAGTCTGTAATTGAATTAGTCCCCACCAACAACTAATTTCTAGAAAGAGAAGTAGAATATCTTCTAACAAATACAATTTGAAAATAAGGCGCAAAGAGATGAGGTGTCTTGAAGAAGAGTTAATAATCGTACCAGAAGTAAATACCAAACCTGACGATCCTTTGGTGACTCTAGGATCACAACGAAAACAGTCAGGAGCACTTTAAACTGCAGAAAGTTCCTATTTTGATTCGCTACCATCAAGTCCATTGGTTGTTTCATCTGTTTTGCCTCAGCATGTTATAAACCATAATCGAGACATGACATTGGCGGAATTGTGTAAACGCAAATAGGACATGAATAAAAAAAAAGAAGAAGTTAATTTTAGTTTGTTTTATTTATTAAAAACGTTGGATTTCCTTGGGTCTACTTCGCGTTTATGTTTTGTGTCATAAACAATTATATTTATAAATGTTAATTTATGTGTAGTACACAGTAATAATATAAAATGAAAACATTAAGTTTGTATTGAATAATTATTAAGTACAATGTAAACAAGTGTAATGTGTGTATATCGCTGCCACCCGCAGTCTTCATAAATTGAAAAATGACTCATATCTGATGCGATATTAGTTCACAATTGAATACCAAAGAAAAATAGAAACTTATCTCTCTCGTTACTTACGGAACTAACAGTGTTTGTGTTGTGATGTGCTCGTTCATACGTTTGGAACGACGTATCTTTAAATTAAAGGAACCTTTCTAAATAAACGTAAGTGTTCAATTAATTAAAGCCTTTTGGATTTATTTACTCAACTAAAAGCCTTCATGTTTCATAAAAATAAATGCACTTGATTGTTTTTAGATTTTTTTAAATATTTTTTGTGTTTAGATATTCTTCGTTTCGTTTGATATAATGTTTACATATAGTTACATAGTTACATGTTAATCCCTTTTCAGGAACATAATCAGTCATGACATATCCAAATCAACCCCTACCACCAGCTCCAGTTCAGTCTATGGGTTCAGCCAATACTGTGTTCATCACAGAAATACGTTTTGATTTAACTTACATGAAAACCCCTGAAGGTGTCTTAAAAATTATTATTATTGTAAGTATCTTATTAATTTTCTAAGTATCTAAAGATGTTAATTTTCAATAGCTTTTAAACTATGCTTATTAATGTTTAGTTTGTTTTCAAGTCTTTGCAATTTTACATTTACAGTAGTGGGCATAACAAAAATTTTGTTAACTTGAATCTACACAGTAAAGATAGGGAATTGAAATTAATTTATTTAATAAATGAAATATTTACTATACAAATAAACTATCCTCTTGAATCTCTGGATCTGTGGTGTAAAATCACATTAAAGGTAACTATGTAGTTTAAAAAATCTCAGTGTACAGATATAGGAGGCGACTTTCTTTTATACAATTTCTCAGAACACTTGCTTACTTTCAATGGAACTCACTAGTCCCACAACACTCATTAGGAATTGCTGGCATAGAATACTCTAATGCATTCTATATGTTTTCTAGGTTTTAAGTTTGATTGGATTTATATGCATACAGTCATCAGCATTCTGGTCAAATGGACGAGGAGTTTACTTCAACATAGTGGCCAACCTCGCCTTTTGGTCAGCGGGTTGTCTGATTCTCTGCTATTTGTTCCATGTGGTAGAGAAATATCACAATATTAAGTGGCTCAAGATCGAATTAGTTGTGGATGTAGTACTAGTATTTTTATATGTTATTGCGTCCACTATAGTGGTTGCATTTGGATCAGCGGCATATTCAGCAGCTGGGGTAAGTAATTATATTTTTTTATATAAAATGTAATACATAGACACGCCTGCACGCCTTACCACAATATGTCAAATTTCGTCAATTGATTTTGAACTCTACTTAAAATGTACTTAAAACCAATTGGAGAAATTTGATAGATTTTTATAACATGACAAGCTGTTGACTGTACATAAGTATATTGATAGAATAAATAGAAAACAATCTGTTGATATGCCCTTTAGTTTGACATTTGAGCGTGTTCAACGCAAATGTCTGTAAGCTTTTGAGAAATTTAAAAACAAAAGGGTTGAATGTTACTAAATAAAATGAATCTTGATCATTCAAATCATCATTTGGTCCAAATGACTTAAAATATTACACAATTCCATAATTCGCTATAACAATTAACATAGCATTGAAAGGGATTATTTAAAACATTTTGAAAATAGACAATGTGCCCAAACCGGCTAGGTCTTAAGTTTATTCTGAAATATACTTAGTGAGGAAACAATAATTAATCTATTACGTCATAGATATAGTGCATAACAATCAGGTGTTATGGTACACTTTGTATGGAGCTTGACTATCAATCTCTGGCACAGTGACACATTAAACAAAATACGGCACAGGCACGTGCGCGGTATGTTAACTTGCCGTTCGCAACTTAAGGAGCGTCATTGTTTTTCATGAAGACTTGTTTTGTTTGGCTTAGAATTGTGATTACAAAAAAATATTATTTAAAAAATGACTGAGACTACGCTGTCTGTCCGTCTGTCACAAGATATTTCTGACTAATAATTTCAACAAACATGTATTTACCTAATTAAGTTATTTTTGAGAATTATTATCATCAATCATAACAGGTCACTATAACCTCATTTTAAAACAAAATTATCTGTACTGATTTAATAATAATAATAAACTTTATTGCATAACATTACAATCGTTCGTTACAGCTCGTCACAGTTATTCTTTCTTATTTTTTGAAACGACTGTATTTGTATTTGCCTGTACCTTGACATGCACATAAAATGTTTGTTTATTGTACACACGGCTGCACGTCAGGTTTCAATATGTCAAATTTCCACAATTTATTTTAAACTCTACTCCTAGTGGATTAACATTTAAAGTTGAGTGGAGAAAATTACATTTATATGGATGTGTTAGCTATAATAACTTATAACAGAATAAAATAAATATTTAAAGGCCACCAACCGCAAACAAGATTTTTTGCGTTTTCATTCATGATTGAACCCTTTGTGTGCGTCTCCGAGTTACACTGAGCCGGTTTTTTAGATTATTCATTATTTTAATCTTTAGCGTTCTGTTTTTATTGCATATTAATATTTTCATTATTATGGATTCGTTAAAAATTCGAGTATAAGCGGAATTCAAACTGCACCCAACATAAAGGATGATAACGGCCCGAATAACTAGGTATCTACTATACCATCCGTTATTGTTTCGTCACGGCAAATGCGGCGGTAGGTACGCCCGTAATCTCAATAGTAAAAGGCATTTCATTTCTGTTAAATGATGATAATCAATTAATGATGATAAATGATTTAACCTTCGCTGGCGTGTCATGGCAGCTAGTGAGAACTATATTTTTGGAAGCATTTCATTATTATTATTGGGGATAAAACTGCAGTCTCCTATACATAAGAACACCCAGGGGATTGGATAAGTCATGCTGATAAAATTAAATGCCTTATTTAATTATGACTAAGTACAAATTAAATTACTTAAAAGATTCCAGTATTTTTTTGTGTGGGAATAAGAATGACTCATACAATAACAATTCGGTCTGCACAATGATGATTTCATAATTTGCCATGACCTATTTATGGGAAGGTCCGTAGGTCGGTCATTTAGATTACATCACTGCCGACATACGGTATGTTAGCAATTTACTGAGAAATTAACGATGAAAAGTCCCGATTAAACAAGGATATAAATAAATCCACTTAACTAAGGAACCGCGGCAAATAGTAGCACGGGAGCCCCAAGGGCGGACGCTAACCCAATTGTGAATTTGATTATTAAGCATATAATAACGAAACTTATCATTTTAATTCAATGTTTTCTCATTGTTATTTAGTATTATCTAATACATATATAAAAGGAGATGTCCTGACATAGTGACTGACAGACAACGCACAGCCTAAACCGCTGGTCGTAGAAACTTGAAATTTGGAGGGGGACATTCGTCTTTTTATATATTTAGAAACGATTATTATAATGCTAATCAACAAAGGTAATATTTGTAGAAAAATTGCAGTGAATTGAAGAGTATTTTGTACATAAACATTTTGTTTTTGTTGTCTATAGTTGACGCTATCGTTCTAGTTTGAGGTTTATTTTGAAACAATTTTTTTTACACATTTTTATGGAAAACTATTTTATATTTTGTGCAAAGTTAATATTTTTATTACATATATGTTGAAATCCAAACCGCCTCGTTTGTTATAGTTCTTCGGGTACTTGACGATGGTATCGTGCGGGGCGGACGCGTTCCTGAAGGGTCGCGCGCTGAAGGCCGGCCGCTTGCCTCAGGGCCAGCGAGTTGTCGCCAAGCAGCCTCATGTACTCACACCGCCGGCACTAACATGATTACACTTAAATAAATACCATAATAATGTACAAATTGGAAAGAGTAACATAAAGACAAAATCCATTGCCAAAACACACTTAATAAAAAGCCGCCTACTTTTGGCAGATGTATCCTTTTAAAGGCATATATTTTGCGTTAAAAAATACTTTTTCAACGTAAGAGTACAGAGCAGGCTTCGATTGGAAAACCCAGTAAACAACTTTAAGTAACAAATTTCCGCGATGAAATATAAAGGTTCATTATTTATCGGAAAAGATATTTCTTGACATTGATAGGAAAAACTATGAGGTGAATATTCTTTTTATAACTTCACCAATCGTTTGTTAATTATTTAAATAATGTTAATTAATGTGATCGTGTTTCGGCGCTATCAGGCCCAATTATTATCGTTTGTGTTACTAGTTATATTGTATTTATGCTATATTATTTATGATCCAAAGTTATTTTGTAAATATTATTTAAGTCTTAATTTATTTATTCAATAGCAATTGTAAAGTATGCACTAGCAAACCTATGAGTCAACGCAGCGGTTATATAAATAACGTCTGACGATGTTGCAAATTAATTACGCCGCCAGTATATATATATACATATATATATATTGATTCTCTTTATTAGGGGATGTTCCAAAATGGGCTAACTTACACCATTTCTAAGAATTATTTTAATAAAAATTATCTGCACATAATTTGATTTAATTACCCAGATCATCTGTGAGAGATGTTATCTTACGCCATGACGTATTTTACGATGTCCTTTTAATATTCCTTCTAAAAATCAAAATCGAATCTAATGGTTATTAATTGTTTATAGTGTCCGTTTCATTGATAGACCAGATCTACCGCTGAAGCCAAAGCAAACAGGATTGATCTGCATAATCCTAGACTGTCTGCTGACAGAGTATGTCCGATCAGTTTCGTGTGCTGACAGATAATTCTGGATTTTATTTTCGCGATAGAGCCGCTGGTCTAGACTTCATACATTTTTGGACATCTCCTTTGTTAGTTTTAACTTGATTAAAATACAGCTTACGATGCATCATCGATGCTCTAGCGAGGTAAAAAAGGTAGAAGAGTTGCGTGAAAACACTCACACTTAACAAGCACCATTGCGTTTGAGTCGCTCTTAACTTCTAATAATTTTATACCTATTCTATGCAGTGAAAAAGTATATTATCGTCAACTCTTGTTGCCAACGAGAATTATCCTTTTGTATAAATTATATATAGCGCATGTTTTATTTTACCTCGAATATGTACTTATTAAGTGTACACTAGTCTTTGTGATATTAAATAACTGTATGAATAATGTACATAACTACATACTTTTAATGTATATAATTAGTTTAAATATAAGCATAGTCCTTTGACGTAGGTCTGTAATTTTAATATACCCAGATAATTTATATATAATATTTATTTGTCCGTCCCTTTATATTGCTCATGTATGTGTCAATTTTTCTATATGATGAAATCGTGATAAATATAAAACGCTTAGAAGCTCTATTTATTATTAAAATTCATTTTAATTTAAATTGAACGCGAATAAATAACGCTTTTCTATTTAGATCACCGGTCTGTCACGTAACTAAAGCCTTGATTGGCTAGTCTTATTCATAACTTTGATGGCACTTTGCGTCACCACAATACAGCCAACTTCACGTAGGAGACAGATAGTCTTCTTCTTCTTTTATAAATGGCTTATCTGCTCATTTTGCACAATTCTGCCAATGTCAAGTGAATAAATAAATTTCTACATGTAAAAAAATAGTCAAAATTATCCTAAATGATTTGTCACGCCGATAGATAAACCAGTCGCAGATTAATATGTAGAAGCCATCAATAAAAGAATAAGAATAATCGGGATTGGTCCACAATTACAACAATCAGAACTTAAATTGTTCAATGTATTTGCTAGTTTTCAAAATACTAGCGCCATCTAGTGATGACTAGAGTAACGAAGTATTTAATCATACATCGAACCCTGAATGTGTAAGTCTTGTCTTTTATTTAATCCATCACCTTTCGACGTATTAACAGCTCAAGACAATGCATTATGTATTAATCGTATTCATACACTTATTATCGATAAAAATATAAAATGTTTACAATTTAATTACTTTAAGTACATATTTATATCATGTTGTAATTTAATAAAAACGCTTTACATGTGTATCAAAATGTTTTATTGATGAAAATAAATAATCAAAAAACAGATTCTTTTCGTTTTAAACATTGTATTAATAAAATATATTCTAGAATGTTATCTGTTCTGTAGCTGTATACAGCAGACAATAGAAAATTCTTTTGAGTAAAGAATAATGTGATAAACAAAATTTACAAGATTATACGAGGTTCCCCTGCAAATAAATTGATACATCAGAAATAAATTAGTTGTATTCGTTCTAATTAGATATTCTGCTTATAAGTCCCCACGTCCCATCCTCGACCCTAATCTTAACACACGTTGCTACATAGAAAATTCGTCGCACAACTCTGTAATTCCCCGTAACATATTAACAACCTGTACACTCCTACTGTTCGCATGTGCCAATGATATTGACTATATCCGAGGAACAGTGCCGCATGGCACGGTCAAATTTATACAATAAATTTTGAACTGTACCCTCTAAAGTTTTTAGGTTTATAATCGAGTGGGGTAATTTGAGTTTTGCATAACCTGACGTGTTTCTAATTGTATTTAGTAGATTTTTTTTTAATACACAACCATTTACAGTCCACCATGTAATATGACTCAGATTTGGTCGTGTTCATTAACAGATTTACGCATCATATATTTTTTTATACTAAGCACACCTGTTCTAATTTTTCTAAATACTTGATTACACAATTTGCGACCCTAAACAAAATATTAGAAGTCATATATTTGCAAATTCGCGTCACTGAAGCTCACATATTTCTCTCCATTTTACATAGAGAATTGGGTGCTTGAAGTATTGCATAAAGCGCGAATTAATTTAGGTCTAATTTGTTAGAAAATATGGTGCCTAATAATGTAGTGGTTACAAGTCTGCCAACTATATAAAACTGTTAGTACAGCAAGAAAATTTAAAATAATTTTTTTCGTAATAATCTCACTTCAATAGAATCTTAAGTACTTGTAAAATTTTGCCATTGCACTATCTATATGAAGTCCACACCCGGATCTACGATTTTTTCTAACCGGGGCAGAAACATCGTATGGAATAAGCGCGGTCGGTACAAAGTCAAAATGTACACTGGCATAATTGAAGTAGTTGAGACTATTGACATACAATTATGGAAACGTTAACAGAATTGTCCTGTAGGTATTTGGACTAGAAATAGGTACATCTATATCAGGTCTGATATAAACCAACACTAATTAATAACTCCCCGACATAAGCACCTGTACGTATGGTTATACAAAACTGTCAAGTATCACCACTCCATTTTAAACCTTATTACATTGAAGTAAGAGTCAAAAAATCTATTGCGGAAATTTGACATATTGCGGTAGCTCAGGTACGCACACCGGCCCTGCTATTCTGTAAACACCCAGACCCGAATTGGAAATCACTCGTGTGTAGAAATTCTATTGATTCTAATTTTTATGTAAATGTATGTACAAAACAAAATCGATTGGATATACTTGTCTCGGATATTTTATTCTTATGTCATTTCGAAACTCACTTCACTAACGCCACAAAACGTTATTAATAATTCAAGTTTTAGCGGATGCCGTTTTTTGAAGTAAATTCGAATACCTGAGTGGATTCGAATTTTTACAGAATCGCAGCAGAATCGGATTGAGCAGAAAACTAAACTTCGAAGCGCAGCCAATAGCTTTTAATGTAGCAATATATGTAAATATTAACAAATATCGTACATTTAAAGAAGTAAATATCCCTGTTTTCTTAAAACTAGCATATAGAATAAAACAGAACATTATTTCTAAAAATACCACGTATAGTGAGAAAAAAAAATAAGGTAAATTACTTTAGTAAGTGAATATAATATCCAAAATACACTTGAAATGCAATATGTAAATATAAAGGCACTGTTTTATCTTGTGGTGCGATTTAGTCGCTCATAAATCAGAAAAGTTAAAATAATACTTATTATTAGTTAAATATTAAACATTACATTCATAATAAGGCAACATTTTTGGTCGTCATATACATAAACTAAAATGTCTACTTGCGCTTGAAATTAAATTATTTGGTATAGAGTGTATTTTTATAACAACTTAAAAAATGTATACAGAGCTAATGCTCAACAAAAAACGTAAAATATCCATGATTAATTTTTACATTAAGTTAAAGCTAAAGCTTATTATTTAAAAAAAGTTAAATGGGTATATTTCACACGGCTGTTGTTTTATATACTGCAGTATTCATTAAAAGATGTAGTCAAGTGAATGAGCAACGTTAAATGGTAAAATGTGTAGGTGCATAGTTTACAGAGTATTATTTATGTAAAAATAACTTTATATATGCATTTTCCTGGGATCAACGCATTTTTCATTAAAATGACACATCAACATTGAAGCACTCAGGTACCTAAACCACTGCCCATATAAATATAAATATTTTATTATCAAAATATACCATTATTAAATTTTTAAAAGTATTATTAGTATAAATAGGTGTATTTCATACATTTTTATTTCAAAAATGCTATACTGATTGATATACTTAATTTTTATAACAATAAATGGTGTTGTTTAATATGTTGTTCCATTATTTTTAAATTAAATGTTTTGCCCTCATAATGGTGTGTTTTAATTCAATGGTTTTTCAATACATATCCAAAAACCATCGAATTCAAACACACTATCTATTGATAACACGCACCTTAAAAGGAGCGTTTTTATGAGACAATAAAGTGTAAGTACATATTGGACGTTTTGGTTTGCAAAAGTGCAAAACATATTACTATTGGTCAGTTACACAAACGTCCATTAAGGTTTAACAACGCCTTTAAGCTCTAATAAATGTCAAATTTGTATAGATAATGTCG